GACAAAGCCAATATCAAGAGCCCATGGAATTGAAAAAGAATGTGTGGGACACTGTTAAGCCATTGGGGCAATTCTGCCATGTTTAGAGTAATGTAGGGTATCATTAAGCTCTGAAAGTGATGATCAAAGGGATTCAGGCTTGCTCTCCTTGGCTGCTATCATCTTCCCACCATAAAAAACACAAAACACAGTTTGCAACTTGAGTCACATGATGGCTGGGTCATATATGAGCAAGGTGGCGCAATGGTTAGAGTGCAGAACTGCAGGCTACTCATGCTGCCTGCTGGTTGCCTGCAATTTGGCAGTTCAAATTTCACCAGGCTCAAGGTTGACTCATCCTTCTATCCTTCCGAGGTGGGTAAAATGAGGACCCAAATTGTTGGGGGCAATAGGCTGATTTTGTAAACCACTTAGAGAGAGCTGTAAAGCACTATGAAGTGGTATATACGTCTAAGTGCTATTGCTGTATCATGTTTATTGTTTTGGCAGTAATTTGTTGAATGTGATATGGTGTCTGGGTTTATCTATTGCAAGTCATAAACCATGGGTTTCTATCCTACTAAGAACTGGATTCCCACAATGTGCTAAACATGTACTCTATAGCCTATATACATATAATGGAATGTATGGGCCACCTTGGGGAACAAGGAAAAAAAGATGTTCTTAGGAAACAACCAGACAAGAGAGGGAGAAGCCCCCAGTGGCTTAAAAGTGAGGGAAAGACATTTAGGAAGAAGCCATCTTAATGAACCAAGCAGTTAAAAGTGACAAAGGGAAAATGGCAGCTTCAGATTTGCAAGACTAATGTAGCTTTACAATAAAATAGAATTAGTTCCTCTAGTCCTGTTTCCTCTCTGGTTTACTTGGGAGGACTGATACAGTGTTAGCACAAGGGGTACACAATGTTTAGAGCTTAATTGTTTCATTCTCTTCACAATGGTTTTGAAAATATTAGATTTTTGTTGAAAATGCCTATGCTAATGATTTAATCCTTATTTTGAACGAGGAACAAGATAATCCTTTGTGACTCTTTGCATAACAAATACTGGCAAAATGCAAACTAAATGCAAACTTAATGATGCCCTGAGTCATCCTAGAGTTGTTGAAAAATATCTAGCTAGCAAAGCATTTTAAAAAAAGTATTCAAAGCTAAAAAAAACCTTTCTTACTCATGAAGCAGTATGAGTATTTCTCATTGTAAACAAGGATCTTAATATAAATTTGTAATATATGGCATTTTTTCTAAGAGAAGTATATTTTTGAAAGTAGAAAGTAGAAGTGTCTATGGATATTATCAGTCATCCAGGTCATGGTTGTCCCAAAAGTGCTTTTTCAAAAGGCAACCGGACTATTTTTTCCCCTTGAGGAAGAAGACATTTTGCTTCTCATCCAAGAAGCTTCATCAGCTGTGACTGGATGGTGGGGGTTTGAAGGATCGTCTTTCTTTGCAATCATCTAGTCACTAGCACTGAGTTAGCACAGTCAGAACTGATGAAGCTTCTTGAATGAGAAGCAAAAGGTCTTCTTCCTCAAGAAAAAAACAATAGTCCAGGAATCAAGTATAAAGGCATCCTTCATGTGGAACATCATCATGCTCAAGTCATTTTGCCATCTTCATGGTTTGCTATAGATGCCACTGGCAGAAGGAACAGCAAAATTCTTCTGGGGGTAGCTTGCTTTAGTTTGCCAAAAAGGGTCTAATTTTAATGTTGCTATCACAAATTCAATTTTAATCAAGGAAAGAAGCTCAGTACAGCTTGATGCCACACCAGTTATTTAATTATTTTTGCATGTGAAAAGAAAAAGAAGTTGCCCCTTCTGTAACTTGCTTTTCTCTTGAGGAATTCAAATTGCAACCCTCTTCCCTTGAATTTGGGCAGCCATAATGGTGGGAATCTTCAGCCCCCAACTTCAGACCATATGTACCTCTCCTGCTTACTTGTGGTTCCTAGTATTCACTATCTAGAGATAGATCTCACTATCAAATTCCAAAGAAAATAATTATTACTACCAGTAGTAGGTGAGGTCTAAAGGTGACAAGAGTTCCTTAGAATCTTTCATGCTTTAAAGCAAGCAACAAATGCAAACTAGGACTGGCACGAAGAGTTACTTGAACTTGGTGAACTATAATCAACCCAATTCCAACCTTAAGCTATTTTTGAGCATACTCATTGATGCAGTGGTGGGATGCAACCGGTTTAACAACTGGTTCGGTGAGTGCATGCGTGCTTTGCATGCCTGTGCGCAGCATTCAAAAACCACCCATTTTAAGCTTAAAAACCTACTTTCTATGTTAGTGCCAGTGAGTAAAACAGTAATCCGCTGTGCCACATGAGTCAGCTGAGCTAAAAAACCAGGGAAATATAGGACAGGAAAGAGTAGGGGTGGGTGGTGGGCAGGGGCCAACTGCTCACTGGAAATACCGGTTTGCCCGAGCCAATCTGAACTGGCTGAATCCCACCCCTGTACTTATGCCAAGTACTTTTCAATGTAACTATGCACTTGATTGCCTTCCTCTCAGCTGGCTCAGCAGCAGTGTTACTCTTTGCTGTGTGGATGTGACTTTGATTGAAGGTTTAAATCAGGTGGGTTAGGTGCAGTGGGACTTAACATCATCATTATTGTTTGGGCTTTCTGTGCTCCCTCAGCTGAGAATGACTTCTCTGTAAGGGGATCGTATCATCCAAATTCAGTGTCTCTAGCCAACAAATATAATATTGGGAAAAAATGCCTGTGAATGATGACAACATACTCTTCTAGATATCTCTAGTTTTCCAGTCAGGTTCTATGGATGCTAAATTCCAGGTTCTTTTTCTATGTCAGCTTCAGTTTACAGCATACACTTGCAAGTCAACAGGTGTTTTGTTTTCTCTGTAATCTTTAGAGCTCCAGAGCATATGTGCTCCAGAGCACATATGCCTCACTGAGCACAAAGTCAAGGCACTTAGAAAGGGTATAACTCAATTTGATGCAAGGCTAAGACTGTTGTTTAAAAACAACGTACATGGGGAGAGCATCGTTAAGCCAAATATGAAGGAATCTCTCCCTTTCATTTTTCCACTGAACTTGTACACATGCCCCTGTGTATGAATTTGAGTATTTTTAGCTTGGTGAAGAATACGCAGAGGCAGTAGTCACTATCTCCATGCATTTGAAATATTGTCACACTTGTTATATGATACATTTGTTTTTTGGTCTGGAGAATGGGGTTGAAATCATATGGCCACTTAACAAGAAAAAGACACTGATTTTCATAGAATCTGTATTTGCTATTATAGCCCTAGATATATCTTTGTGGGTGGGAGGTGATTTCAAGTCAGTTTTTTATTCTTGGAGATTGACAAGATTTTGGAAGTGGTTTGCCATTGCCTTCTTCTTAGGCCTAAGTGAGAGCAACTGGCTCAAGTTACACAACTGGCTTTGTGCCTTAAGGCAGGATTAGAACTCACAGTCTCCTGTCTGGTGCATTAACCATGACACCAAACTGGTTCTCTATTTAAATAAATAGTATGCTGTGACCAGATGATATGTATGCATGCTGTGCTTACTTTTCAAAGGCTTGAATGGAGAGATGCTATTTGAAGGCCCTTCTTTTTCTTGAGGTTTTTGGTTTTTAAGCTAAACCGCTTAGAGAGGGCTGGAAAGCACCGTGAAGCGGTATATACGTCTAAGTGCTATTGCTAATTGTGGATATTTCAATGAGACCTTTAAATAGGCTTTTCCAAACCTGGAGCTCAAATCCTTGGACAGCATCAGATTGGAGAAGGCTAAAATAGCATACAGCTTTTAAAAAATGGATTGAAGCTGATGTCAAAATAATTAATGTATATATTTTGTTTTCTCTGACAATTAGATTTTATGGATTGTTTCAAAATACATATAGAGCCATGGGGCATAGATCTGTACCATTGCAAACAATGCATTCTCAAGAATTGTAATTATTGTCTAACTTCAAAGTCTGCATCTCTCATAGTATTTTTTATAGAATTGCATAGATTCAACACCTATGGGAGCACTTATTCTCCCCCCCCTAAATTCCACAAATTATAATCTGGCTATCTAAAAGTGTTTTGTACATCTTGTTTTCATTCATAAACAAAATAAGCATTAAGAGTTGTAAATATATTTAAAACCTAAAGTTTAATTTATAAGTAATTTTATGTTTTTGATTTTATTTTACAAATTAGCTGAGCAAGAGGATATTCAAAAAAGAACTTTCACAAGCTGGGTGAACTCGCAGCTAGAAAAGGTAATGAGATACTGGTTTATAGAATATCTTCTAAGATATATGTAAAATACAATAATGTTTTAGTCCCTTTTATCTTATTAAATATTTGAATCTCAGTAGGAAAATTAAATAGAAACAGAAAGTGTTTACAGCAAGTACCAAAGCTTGGTGAAATGTCTGAATTACTTGTAGGGCATAGAGCCTGGATGGAGAACCTATGGCACACGTGCCACAGGTGGCACGCGGAGCCATTTGTCAGGGCACGTGACGCATTGCCAGCATTTTTTCCAGAGGCTTTATAGGAGCCTGGGGAGAGTGAAAAGAGCCTCCCCCCTGGAGGCCCTCCGGAGGCTTCAGGAGCTTCCCTGAAGCATCCTGAGCAAAAAAACCCCACCCCTAAGGGGAAACCGGAAGTTCAATCACTTCTGGCTTTCTCGTAGGGCCAGTTTAAGCCCTCTGGAAGCTTCAGGGAAGCCTCCTGAAGGTCCCTGAAGCCTCCAGAAGGCCTCGAGAGGGGGAGGCTGTTTTCGCCCTTCCCAGGCTCTTATGGAGCCTGGGGAGGGCAAAAAAAGCATGCAAACATGGGTGGGAGCACCTCTCATGCGTGCATGTGCACTGTGGGGATGTCGCATGTTGCATTATGGATGTGGCGTGCCCATGCATGACCCCCCCTGCATTCCCCCCCTTATGGCACATGAGCCAAAAAAGGTTCGCCATCGCTGGCATAGAGCATAGAACAATTTTTCCATGTGTGTAAAAAAAATAGTCAGGGCTAATAATTAAACCAACATTGTGGATTTATTGGCTCACTTGGTCACATTTTACCAATTAAACAGCACTAGATTGAAATATGACTCAGCATGTTATAGGGTAGCTGCCCTAGGTGGCACCTCAGCTCAACAGATCCAAGAATGGGCAATCGGTTTTGGCCCATTTGGAACAGTGAACATTTTGCTTGCACTTTCACTAAATTGCTCACGTGGTAGATATGTCTAGTCACAAAATGCCCAATGTTCAGGCTGGTTAATATTGATCCCAAACATTCCTTGTGGTCTCCCAGGATGATCCCTATTTCAGCAGTTTACAGTAGCTTTGTCTTTTGAAGGGTAGGGAAAGGACAAGCCCCCACAGTTTTATTTTCTAGGAATGTCTATTTACAAATTGGTTTAGAAATCTATAAATAAAGAGATGATGCTAGAGATTGATGCTTTGTTTTTAAAGTTGGCAGATTCTTTTCTATCATTATAAGTACTATTAATAAAACACACTTTCTTGTTTGCAAGATTTTGTGTTAGTATTATTACTAATACTAGTATTTAATTACTACTAATTAATTTTTTTAAAAAGTACTAAAATCTCATGGAATAGGAAGCCTAGCAAGAAAGTGTCACTTAACCTATAATTGACAGTATGACAGTTGCTAGCGGGTATTTATGATGGCCCAGAGACTAACACACTGAGAACTGGTTGCTAAAATATTTGTACAAGAGCCCCTGCGGTCCAGGAGAAAGACCAAAATATGCATTCAATTATGCATATCATCTTGTTGTAATGTATACTGAAACCACTATAGTCTAACCAAATATAAATAATTATTCTGCAGCATCCATCACCTTCTGTTATCTTGGACTTGTATTCAGACATTGGGAAGGGACATGTGCTTTTGGATCTGCTGGAGGTCCTTTCCGGACAACAATTGGTAAGAGTATTATGAATAACTCAACCCCAAGAATTCCTAGAAAGGCTTTGTACATGTAGTTCTTGTTTCTCAGAGTCAGTTAACCAAATAGCCCAGGTTTCTCAGCTGAGGAAAACATAGATGCATTTCCTAAACCTTTTGTTTACTATTTATTTATTTTATTTATATCCAGCCTCTTTTATTTATTTTTAATAAAAAACTGAAGGCAGCCAACATATCCAACACACATTCCTCCTCCTATTTTCCCCACGACAACAATCCTGCTGAGATGAGTTGGGCTGAGAGACAATCACCATTGATAGTCCTTCAGTCACCTTAGGTACCCAATTGGCTTTCACAGGACTTGTATTCAAAGTCTCCTGTTTTCTAACTTCATGCCTTAATCACTAGACCAAACTGGCTCCTGCAAAGATATGCCTCTACTCAACTAGTTGAAATATCTGAATCAAAAAAGCAAACTACCCGGTTTCCCTGAAAATAAGACCTCCCTGAATAATAAGCCCAATCAGGCTTTTGAGCACATGCACTAAAATAAGCCTTCCCCCCAAAATAAACCTTCCCCGAAAATATTGCAACATAGCAGCGGCTGTGAGGTAACAAAGTTCACCTCCTTCTGCACCTAAAAAAATAATAAGACTGCCCCGAAAATAAGGCCAAGCTCTTATTTTGGGGGGTCAAAAGAAAATAAGACCCTACCTTATTTTCAGGAAAACATGGTAGGTAAAATGGATAAAATACACCACTCTATTAAACACAGTTTCTTGTTTGCAGGATTTTGTGTTAGTATTATTTTTCAAAATGCAAATTATTTTGTGCCAAAGGGGTTTAGGTTGATAACTATCAGAATATGTGTTTGTTTTTCTTCATGTATCAATTTTCCTCTTTTTTCTATAACTCCTTGAAGAGGGTAAGCTCCTTTTACTTTCACTCTTTGTGAAGCATTACACATACATAGATATTCCTACAATATTTACAAGAACAGTGGTGGCAGAATATAAGAGGACAGAATCAAAGTAGAAAATAACTTCAGATTACAGTCATCTTCAAATACAACCAATTATTACTACATCCTTGAATCGTCCTATTTTTATTGTCACTTTGCCTTGTAAGATTGCAGTCAAGAATATATATATTTACAAATAGTGAAACATTGTCACTGCTGAGATTGATCAAACTCTTCTTTTTTGTTTCTTTATATTTTATAGCCACGTGAAAAGGGATCGAACACTTTCCAGCGCAGAAGCAACATTGAAAATGCCTTAACCTTCCTGAAGAATAGATCAGTTAGTATTCCAGCTTTGAAAGGAACCCGAGTTTACATAGTTGCTAAAGCATTAAATAGATTATTGAATGTAATGTTCAATGTTTATTTCCAGCAAATTCACTACAAAATTGTGAATAGTTACAGATGTCAGCTATATAAGAACATTTTCCTACATGTGAAGGACATCCAGATTGATTGCTAGGTCTCTGTGATATTTGCATATCTTGTAGTTTTATTGTATCTGCTTTTTGCAATAAGCACACATGGTAGTCCTTTTTTGGTGCCTGAATCACACTTGAGCAAGTTGTTACTTTTAGTTGTTACTTTCTAAGGAAGAGAAGCAGATATTTGTGCCCATCAAGAGTTGGATTTGGGGCACTATGTTCTCATCTTAAAGCAAGCTTATTTTCTTTCTATAGTATTGCAGTTTATTCCACCTCCAACATTGGATCAAGATTGTTATTGTAAAAATCATACATTAAACATTGCAGATTTGTAACACAAGCCATTCTTTCCTATAGGTGTCCTCCAAATGTCCTGGGATTGTAACCCCAAGAATTTTTCCTCTTTCAGTTGCCTGGGAACTTTGGGAAACAATCTCAGCACATCTGGAAGCTCTTAGTATCTTCCTGTTCATCCAAACAATAAATCCTCCTTTTTTTCCAGCTCAAACTTATAAACATCCATGTTGCTGATATCATAGAAGGAAAACCATCCATCGTGCTTGGTCTCATATGGATCATTATATTGCATTTTCATGTATGTATTAATCAACATAAAGAGAAGTTTTTCAAATTTTTCAAAGTTCCAATTAGAGGTTGTCCCACAATTTCAGTACAGTACTGACTTTGTCAGTTCTGCTTCTTCTACCACGGCTAAACTAAGAAACTATTTCAAACATATAACTTGTAATATAAAATTATTATAACATTTGCCATTGTATTATCTGTCCTTAAAATATGGTATTTTGGCTATAGTCAATAATTTTGGAAAGCTATTTATCCTATTTTATTATTTAAGTTCAAACATTATGTTATTTATAGTTGTTACTTGTTGAATGTTTTCCTCCATATAGTTGATAAGGAAAATATTGAATATTTAGTTGCATATTTTTTTTCAACTCAGATACATAATGCTGAGATAGAATAGCTCCTAGCAGGCTACTAACCTCAATGTATTGGGTGATTATACTTATTTAATGTGATAGAAAAGCCAAATTCTGCATGCATGAAAAATGTGTCTTGTCAAAATCATGGCTAACTAGATTTTTTTTTTGGGGGGGTAGACTTGTTTTCTGCATGGTTTTTCTGGCAGTTATATGAGGAACAGATCATATCAAAATCAGCCATTTGAATTAACTCTTTATTTTAGGTACAGTCAGACATTTTCAAATGTGTTTCTTTCTTTCTTTCTTTCTGATGCCCATGGATAGATTGAAGAATTAGCCAAGGCGCTTTCTTGTGGATACAGCCATTCATCTGTGGACACTGTGGATTTATCACCAGCAACAAGCCCAACAGCTAGAACTAACGTCAAAGCAAAGGAACGATGGAAGATATCAGCGAAGAAGGCTGTCCTGCTGTGGGCTAAGGAGCAGTGTGACAAGTATGTCAGGATACGAAAATCAATCTGATACTTTAAAATCTGTTCTGTCCCATTTCCACATTTATTTACTTGTTTTAAACTCTCAGCTGCAGGGTAATTGCAGACAAATGCAGATCTGAGAAGCAGCTACATCTATATCAGCATATTAGTCTTAATTATGGACCAGGCCAGTTTGTGTCTGAATTCTCAAAAATTATATTTTTCAAACACCTCTAAATGCATAACAAAGTATTTAAAAGATACACCTCAACAAGCACATTGAGATGTATTTTCCAGCTGCTCTTTCTTCATGGGAAGCTGACAGTATGAAATATAACAGTACCCAAAGGTATTTAACACTTAGAACCATATTGTAGGACTCAAAATTCTAAATCTATATTAAAAAGGTAGAGGAAAAGAGAGATGGATGGAAATAAGGAATAGCAACAGAGGAAGAGAAAGAGGTGTTTCTTTGTGTTGTGTATTATAAACTGATGTTGGACTGACATTAGAAAGCCGCAATATAGCACGCTCTAGTTCAAAGTTTGCAAGGAATACATGTACTTTACTACAGGTGACTTTAAAGAAAGATTATGTGAGCCTTTCTAATTCCTTCCAGATATTTTAGGCAACAACTCAATAACCTCTGCCCATTACAACTACCTTACTTGGAATTTATGGAGTCAGAATCTGAAAAATCTGCTGTACATTAGTTGAGGAAGACTGGACTGAACAAATTCATTATGAGTGCATAATATAAACAGATTGAGAGTATGCATCTTGACTTTATAATGAATGCAGGATGAGTTGAGGGGGGTAATTAGAGGTTCATGTTACAGCATTATAAACAAATCTTTTTGGAGAGGTAGGTGGCTGTCCTTCCCAAACTCTTGCATAGTAATCAAACTGGTAATAGCTGTTGAGACTCTGCCCAGGAGCTCAAAAGAGTTGGGTAAGTTATGCTGAAACAAATGGCAAGCTGATTTCCTATTTCCCTCTGTGCACATCTGAAACGCCTCCAAGTAAGTTCAGCAAATGATGTCTGTGTTTGATCAATGACCCATTTCGTCTCTCTGCAACCAGGAAACACCTATTAGTTTGCACCTAAATGCAACTTACTCTCTACCTGTGTGGAGCTTTCTTAGTTTCAAGTCTGTATTCTGCTTGTGATGGAAATTATGTACAGGATCGGGAGAGTTCTTATAACTGAATTTATGGGATTGCTGAGCTAAGTGGGCCTAAGAAGTGAAGGTAGTATTTGCTGAGTCTCTGTCTCTGTGAGTCTCCGTTGTGCAGACAGAACACAGAACTGATTTCCCATTTATCAAGTTGTTAGGTTACTCTTCTTTTATTTAATTTGCTTAGAGTTAATATATGTAATTAGACAAGAAATCTATCTGATACAAGTACATTCCTTCCTTGCTTATTTTCAGTTTAAGTTGTTTAGTCAGCACTCATCTGGCTGAACTACATAGAAAGAACAAATTTAAAGAACAAATAGTGTGAAGTTTCTTTCAAAATATATTTGAATTATGTCAGCAATCAGTTTATTATGCCATGGAAAAGAACCACCCTTCCTCTAACTTTTAAGTTATAATTTCCCAGAGAGTTTATATTGAAAGTCAGGGCAAGCTATACAACCCCCCCCCCCACATACATTTTTATTTTCTTCTCCAACATAATATTTCTCCCCTCTCTTTAATTTTGTGTGTTTTTAAATGCTTTTGATCATAGGCATGGGTCTATCAGCGTTGCAGATTTCAAATCCAGTTGGAGAAATGGATTGGCTTTCTTAGCCATCATTCATGCATTAAGGCCAGGCTTGGTTGATGTGGAGAAAGCAAAAGAGAGATCAAACAAGGAGAATCTGAGAGAGGCATTTCAAATAGCAGAGAAGGAACTCAGCATACCCCGGCTACTTCAACCTGAAGGTAACTCATAGATTTTACATGCACTTTAGCTTCAATCTTCTTCGTGTTGAGTTTTGAGCATCTGAATCACAGCAGTGCTTACTGTACTGTGCTGGTTTATTCTACCAATTTTGGTCTTGCCTTGCTTTCCCTTGCCTTAATAATATAATTAGATTATTATTAATAATGTTGGATTGGAACAGCTAAAATGATACAACTATTAAGGAAAATCAACACTATGCATATTAAAAGTGGCAGTGACAGAGACATAATCAAACATGTACTTTGCAATTTTATTTAATATCAAGCATACATTTCTATAATCCTTTTGATTGTTTTTAGAGTAAATTATAAATATATGAAAAGGGACATGGTGGCTCAGTGGCTAAAACACTGAGCTTGTCAATCAGAAAGGTGGGCAGTTCAGCAGTTTGAATCCCTCGTAACAGAGCGAGATCCTGTTACTTGTCCCAGCTTCTGCCAACCTAGCAATTTGAAAGCATGTAAAAATACAAGTAGAAAAATAGGGACCACCTTTGGTGGGAAGGTAACCGTGTTCTGTGTGCCTTCAGCATTTAGTTATGTCAGCCACATGACTACAGAGATGTCTTTGGACAGTGCTGGCTCTTCAGCTTTGAAATGCACCGCCCCCTAGAGTCAGGAATGACTAGCACATATGTATGAAGGGAACCTTTACATATAAATATATGAAGTTATTTTAGGTAAAACCACAGATTCATTTGCCCCAGGATGGTCTAATTCTGGAGTTCTTAGTATAAGATACTTAAGAGGGCATGGGATGAAGGCGAATTCTGCAACCTTCTCAGCCATGTGGGTTCTTCACTGAGTTCTGTTGGATTGGATTTAGAGCTAGGTCTAATACTGTGAACAGATTCTTTACAGGCTTTCTCAGTGAATAATTTATCCCCACCCCCACCCCCACCCCAAGAACCTTATTCAGGCTGATAGCTGTGTTTCCAAAAGTAGCAAGCTGGGCTACACTTAAAATGTTCAGAAACTTCTTCTTGGAGATTTTATACTACTTTCACATTGGGAAAGGGAGCTGGCATATTTTGTGTGGCAGAGATTTCATTCAATGATGGGAAAGACTATAGCATTTCATTCTTACTAGGGAACCAGAAGTATTTGCCCCATGATTTCCATCTCTATCTGCTATGTAAAAGGAAGAGCTGATAACATAAATGTCTAAGTCTCAGTCATCCAGGTCATGGGGGGCCCAAAGGGTGCTTTTTCAAGAGGCAACTGGACTTTCTGGTTTGTTTGGTTTTTTTTGAAGAGATTTCGTTTCTCATACAAGAAGTTTTTGGAGCTGATAACATAGTTTCCCAGTAGGAAATATCAGGATGAATCCCTGTAATCTCTCAAATATTTCAAAGAAGATGGCTTACATATGAATTGCCAATACTGTTTCCCAAGGAAATAAGGCAGCAGATAGAAGCACTGTGGTGTTAAACTTGGAAGACCCTCCGTCACATTGAGTCTGTCTCCTACATCTGGACAAATTTGAGGAGGTAGAATAAAAATATTTTGCCTATCCTATTGTCAGGGTTCTAAATAGAATCCAAAAGTAAATCAGAGTACAAGGCAAAGTATTGCTCAAAGTTCCAATTTATTAGGAGAGCCATGTTGGTACATCTGGGAAAACCCGAATCTGAAAGTTTCCCGGTTTTCCCCACCTAGTTGAAAGTTCACGATCTTGCCCCCACACCCACAAGTCCATCACATGCTCCAATCTCCCACTGCCATGCTGGCAGTTCCACTCATCCAATTCCGGTCAGAGGTACAGAGACAAAGGATGACCTTGGCTTTCTAGATTTTTTTTTTTGTGGCTACATAGAATGCGATTCCTTACAATCCCCTCTCCGATTTTCCCACAATAGAAAATACATAGTAGAATAATAGAAAGTGTGTCAGGCCAAAGATCCAAAAGAAAAGATGGCTGTAGGCCTGACACATATAATAGTCAATATCCAATTGAACCTGTGGGAATGATTACAGTTAATTGCTATGTTGTCACATAACAATACTTTTTGTTGAACAAGCTATATCAGTCTAATTTATACATAATGTTAAACTAGAATGGATGGTTCATAATTCATGCTGATGAAATCCAGCAAAATTAATTTATGTGTGGTCCTGACAATTTTGAAACCCACCACTAATACAATTATGGGCAATGCAGATATAGTCAGTAATGTACATAGTGAATTGGTTTTCCGGACAGCAGTGCCCTGTATTATTAGAAGTTTGTACTTTGGAATATATTCAAAGCTCTTGGCATTCCACAGATGTTGACGTCACCAATCCAGATGAAAAATCCATCATGACTTATGTGGCTCAGTTTCTCCAGTATTTTAAAAGTGTACCTGTGGCTGAAGATAGAATGCAGGTACAGTATGTGACATCTAAAGCTTTAGAGCCTGTTTATACTTTTTTTTTTGCATCCAGCTTTTTTCAATTTTATCAATGAGTGTTCCTTGTAGAAAATCCATGCCATGATAAATTTTATTTTTCAGAATTTTATTAGACCTGCAACTAGTTTAGGTGGAACATTTACTGATAATTAATGCCGCTTAAGATTATGATCTTGTTACATATATAATACTAAATTATTTTTTTATTATTATTATTTTTAAAACATAAATATGCATTAATATGATAACGGTTTGGTTCATACATTACACTAAATTAATACAAAAAGTTCATATGATGGCTTAGGAGTCTGCGTGGTTAGGAGCGTTGGTTAGAATGCAGCATTGCAGGCAAATTCTGCCCACAGTCTGGAGTTTGATTCTTATGGGGCTTGAGGTTCATTCAGTGTTCCATCCTTCTGATGAAGCCCAGATTGTTGGGGGCAATATGCTGACTTTGCAAACCACCCATAGAAGTGCTCTGGAGTGGCATATAAGTCTAAGTGCTATTGTTATAGTGCAATATGTGAATACAGTGAGATCGATATATTCTAGGCACTGTATCACATGTTAAACAGTAATTTATTTTAACCATGTTTATTGGTTGAAGCATAGATACCTCAGTCGCAGATTATGCTGAATTATGCTGTAAACATTCAATGTTTGGGGTCAAACAACTTGCTGAGCCAAAACTAAACAAGTCATATGAACTAGAAACAAATATATTTCACAGATATATGTGAAATGTGTGGTTAAAATGCTGAGCTTGTCAATTAAAAAGGTTGGCAGTTCGGTGGTTTGAATCCCTAGCGCCATGTAATGGAGTGAGCTCCCATTACTTGTCCCAGCTTCTGCCAACCTAGCAGTTCGAAAGCATGTAAAAATGCAAGTAGAACAATAGGAATCACCTTTGGTAGGAAGGTAACAGCATTCAGTGCACCTTCAGCATTTAGTCATGCCGGCCACATGACCATGGAGATGTCTTTGGACAGCACTGGCTCTTCGACTTTGAAACGAGATGAGCACCTCCCCCTAGAGTCGGGAATGACTCGCACATATGTGTGAGGGGAACCTAAACCTTTTACCTTATATTTCACAGATGTTTGCAAAACAATCTATAAAGGGCAAAAACTCTGGGAATAAGAGTAACAAAGCACTATTTTCTGTAACAATGCAAACAGGAATATCTGTACAAGTATATACATTTTTTGTTCTGTTTTGCAGGGAAAAATCAAAGAGACCTTGAGCTGGCTCAGTGCACAGGAATGCAAGTTAACAAAGTTGCTGACTGAGCTAGAGAATGCATCCTTCTACAGGAAATTTGAAGTAAGTAACTTTGTAAAAGTATCCTTTGGAGGATATGTTATGTTACAAGAAATATGAAATAATAACAAGGGATCCCTGTTTTGTATCTTTTTATAAAATGAAGATTTTGGATTTTGCTTTCTGAGCTCTTTTTAGTCATGGTTGCAATTTATGATAGCAAACTGTGATTCAGGCCACATGAAGAATTCATCAGCCTTAGCAATGGCCTGGCTTTGCATGCTGCCATTCCTTCTCTACTTTTTATGTCATAGGACCTAATCAAAATAAAATTTGATTAAGGATCATGTGTTTATGCATATGAAGCACAAAATTATTATTTAAAATGTTAATTTAAAGCGTTAACAACCTTGAGAGTGTCACCCATAGTTACTCATTTATTTTAATAGGAACTTTTCAGAATCATTAAAACTGGATACACCATATGAAGATAGGAACAATTTCCATTTTGTGCCAGTCTTATCTTTGAAGTGGAATGAAAAGCAATTGAGCACATAGCTATTGATGAATAGATCATCTAGTGTTAATGTATTTATTTGCCTTTTAAACCCATACAAGTTCATCCTTACCACAGTAAATCCATGAATATGTTAGCTTCTACATGTCTGGTGGTATTGAAGAAGCTAATCAGAATTGCATAAAAATATTAAAATAGAATAAGCCATGGTATAAAGAATTTACTTGTTGCTCAGGAAGTTGATGAGCCACGGTGGCGCAGTGGTTAAATGCAGCACTGCAGGCTACTGCTAGATCAGCAGTTCAGCGGTTCAAATCTCACCGGCTCAGGGTTGACTCAGCCTTCCATCCTTCCGAGGTGGGTAAAATGAGGACCCAGATTGTTGGGGGCAATATGCTGACTCTCTGTAAACCGCTTAGAGAGGGCTGAAAGCCCTATGAAGCGGTATATAAGTCTACTGCTAAGTCTACTGCTATTGATGATAAAGATTCAGACTACTGAGAAGAATCAGACTGAAATGTTGTTGCTTAGTTTTCTGTTCCAATAATGACCAAGCAGAACAGATAGACATGGGCTGTGTTTATGCAATGTGATTTATCAGATTACCTAAAAATCTATGGTCATTTGGTGATCATTCAAAGTTACAATGGCTCTGATAAAAGTGATTTATGACCGTTTTTCATACTTATGACCATTGCAGCATGGTCATATGTTCAAAATTTGTATGCTTGGCAACTGGTATGTATTTATGGTGGTTGCAATGTCCCAAGGTCATGTGATCACCTTTTGCAACTTTCGACAAGCATAATCAATGGAAAAATCAAACACATGTAAAAACCGTGACCCGTCAAAAGCGCGGACGGCAAAAGCGCGATCGACAAAATCGCGCCTTTGACGTCATCACAGCGCGACGAAAAAGATCGAAAAATTCAAATAAAAATTAATAAAAATTAAATTAAAGCAAGCCGATTCACATAAAGGTAAGGGTTAGGGTTAGGGTTAGGGTTAGGGTTAGGGTTAGGTTAAGGGTTAGGGTTAGCTTTAGAGCGTTAGCGTTAGGGTTAGGATAAGGGTTAGTGTTAGGTTTTTCGTTACTTTAACGGTTAGGTTTAGGGTTAGGTTTAGGGTTAGGTTAAGAGTTAGGTTTAGGGTTAGGTTAAGGGTTAGGTTTAGGGTTAGGTTTAGGGTTAGGGGGGCTTAGGGAAGGTTTTAGCTTTATTTTTACATTTTTTCGATCTTTTTCGTCGCGCTGTGATGACGTCACAGCGCGCTTTTGTCGAGCGCGATTTTGTCCTACGCGCTTTTGTGGTGGAACCGTAAAAACGGTGGTATTAACTATTGCAGTGATTCACTTAACAGCCATGGTAAGAAACATTGTAAAATGGAGCAAAACTCACTTAATAACTGTCTTGCTTAGCGATAGAAATTTTGGTCAAAGGATTGTGGTCGCATTGTCAAGGATTATCAGTAGTGGTATTAAAACAACTTGTGAGTGACTTTAAGCTTGGTTAGTTTTTGTGGAATAAACTGTTTTTTTTACTTCATTTTGCATATAATTCTAGTATGCAAATTATTACTTATTAAGTGTATAAGCTGACCAACTCCCAGTTGTAGAAAGTGTGTAAATAATGTAACCAGGTTAAGTGAATATTCTGTTGTTCACTTGAGCCTCCATTATTCAGAGATAAACTACCTTTGTATCCAGTCTCATTTAAAGATCATGTTCTATAACCATTGACAATTCTATCCTCTTAATTCTTAATTTCCCTAGTTCTTTTAAATATCTGACATTGACTATATTGAATGCACTTACCCTTTTAAATATCAATTTAAATCCTTAGGCAATGCTATCATTTACAGAAGCATTTAATGAAGAAAAAAAAGCCTTCATTCCCATTCTGGAATCTAAAAGAAAAGGGTCAGAGTTGAATGATGATTACTTGGAGATGAAGGAAGCATGGGACAACCTATCGCATCAGGTCATTTTGCAGGAATTTGCATTTACTTTGTTGTTGTAAAAGGTTTCTTGTTCATGCATTTGAACATACGGCTTCCATGGGGACACATTTCCTGCTATGCAAATATGAAACAAAGATGGGAGCAATAGAATACTTTGCAAGCCAGAGGGGTAACTTATACGCTCAAACAGAACAATGGTTCTAATATGCTGGTACATTTATATGACATAAAGTATGAATAGCTGAAGGAGAAATTTCTTAACAGTGAGAGCAATTAACCAGTTGGACAGCTTGTCTTCAGAAGTTTTGGGTGCTTCATCTCTGGAGGTTTTTAAGAAGAGACTGGATAGTCATTTGTCTGAAATGGTATAAGGTCTCCTGCTTGAGCAGGTGCTTGCATTAGAAGACCTCCAAGGTCCCTTCCAGCTCTATTCTGATTAAGCAATATGCTGGCATAATTTTGTAACATAAAGTATGAATAGTTGAAGAACCAATATGAATGGCATTGCTCTGATTTATTTGTCTAGATGAATGAATGGAAAGCAAAGCTGGACAATATGTTACCTCCACCTCTGGATGCCACGGAGGCTTGGCTGAAAGAAACAGAGCAGCATCTGGCACACAATCTACCCGTTTCTCAAGATCCTTTGAAAGCAACAGCTGCCCTTGAAGAAAAATTAAGAGCTGTACAGGTTGGTTAAGCAAAGTAAAATATTTATTTTTAAAATGCATTTATTGATTAAATTTATTTATGTTCCATCTCGTGGGCAGCTTACAACATAATAAACATTAAAAGCATCAAATATAAAAGGACAGAACAAACAAAATAAAATCATTAACACAAGATGGAAGGAGAGGGAGCTGGATATGGAGGGAGGGAGAGGGGAAGTGGGACTATCTTTTAATTAATCAACAATCACCTTCATTATGAGTCTTTCCTATCGGGTCCCCAAGCCACCTGACAGAACCAGATTTTAAGGCTTTTACAAAAGGTCAGGTGGGTGGGAGACAATCTCACCTCAGAGGATAAGGGGCTCTTTTCTTGTGGTGTGCCAGTGGAGCTGGTGGCAGACTCAGACAGTGAGGAAGTTGGGGAAGAACATGGGCCAGGGCTGTCCAACAGTTATCAGCTGCTTTCGGAGTTGTATATCAGTGGGCAGAAGAACAGCTGGAGCCAGTTCTTGATGTGCGCATGTGCAGAGCTGCCAGAATGGAACAGTTAAGGAACAAAGGGCACAGATGGACGTTGAATGGCCCCTCCCATAGGGAATAAAGAGGAGTGAAAGGGGAGGCGAGTTTGCAGGAGACAATTTGTTCAATTCATTAGGGTGAAGATCTGTTCCTGACTTCTTGCCAAGTAATTGCTGCTACAGTGTGGCATTTGGAAGATATTGGCCTGGCAACTCTC